CAGCATATCTTCACTCAGCCGATGATGAACGCAAGACATACGCGCTGGGTTGAGTTCTTGGCGGACTATCAGGTGAACATTAACTACCATCTGGGCAAGGCTAACCTGGTGGCGGATGCGTTGAGTAGACGGAGGTATGATTCCGCAGTGGAGCGAGATGTAGAGTCTCTGGTTGGCGAGATCAGTACCTTGCGTTTATGTGCCATTTCGCAGGAACCTTTGGGTTTACAGGCAGTGGATCAGGCGGATCTACTTAGCAGGATCAGAGTTGCTCAGCAGAGTGATCAGAGTTTGCTAGATGCGACGAGAGTGACTGGTTCTGAGTATGAGGTCTCTGCGAATGGGACCATTCTGGTTCGTGGGCGAGGTTGTGTGCCTAAGGATGTGGAGTTGAGACAGGAGATTCTGAGAGAGGCTCATTCGAGCAAGTTTTCCATTCATCCGGAGCGACCAAGATGTACCATGACCTCAAGAGGTACTATCATTGGGTCGGGATGAAGAGGGATGTAGCAGACTGGGTTGCGAAGTGCAACACTTGTGCCTTGGTGAAGGCAGAGCATCAGGTTCCGGGTGGTCTTTTGCAGAGTTTACCCATTCCAGAGTGGAAGTGGGACAGGATTACGATGGATTTCGTGGTTGGACTACCTGTTTCGAGGACTTTTGACGCTATTTGGGTGATTGTGGATCGGTTGACTAAGTCTGCACATTTCTTGGCCATCAAGAAGACAGATGGAGCTGCTGTCTTGGCTAGGAAGTTTGTGCGAGAGATTGTGAGGCTGCATGGAGTGCCAGCTAGTATTGTGTCAGACCGTGATCCCAGATTCACTTCAGAGTTTTGGAGAGCTTTTCAGGCAGAGATGGGCACTAAGGTGCATTTGAGTACAGCTTATCATCCGCAGACAGATGGACAGTCAGAGAGGACTATTCAGACCATGGAGGATTTGTTGAGGATGTGTGTGTTGGATTGGGGTGGCCATTGGGCAGATCACCTGGGCTTAGTTGAGTTTGCATAGAACAACAGCTTTCAGGCGAGTATTGACATGGCTCCATTCGAGGCTTTGTATGGGAGGCCATCTAGGATACCCCTATGCTGGACCCAAGTGGGGGAGCGCAGCATGTATGGAGCTACTTATGTTTAGGAGACGACAGAGAAGGTTCGTGTTGTGAGGCTGAACATGAAGGAGGCTCAGGATAGGCAGAAGAGCTATGCAGATAGACGCAGACGAGAGCTTGAGTTTCAGGTTGGAGATAGAGTTTATCTCAAGATGGCTATGTTGAGGGGTCCTAACAGATCCATACCAGGGAACAAGCTGAGTCCGTGTTTTATGGGTCCGTTTCCAGTAGTGGAGCGAGTTGGGCCATTGGCTTACAGGCTGGAGTTGCCTGAGATTATGAAAGCCTTTCACAAGGTGTTTCATGTGTCGATGCTGAGGAAGTGTCTTCACCCTACAGAGGAGTTAGTGGCTAGGATTCCAGAGGATGTTCAGCCAGATTTGACAGTGCCGGCAGTGCCTGTGAGGATGCTTTGTATTTGTATTTTCGTTTTGGTGTTAACGATATACATTTTGGAGTTTAATGAGATCAGTTTTTTTTTCTCATTTTGCCTTGTGTTGTGAAATGGTATTCGGATGTTACACATGTTTGACCAGTTTTTGGTTGTGAGACGGTCTTATCTTATGGCTATAGACAATTTCCGGAATTTTTACTCTAAGGATTACGATCCTGAATAACTCATCATGTTTTTGGAGATTTCGTTGTCTGGTAGACTCTCTGGGTGCAAGTAGTCCTCAGTTGAGTGTAGCTTATCTGGGTGCAAGTAGGCCTCAGTATAAGCATTTTAGTTCATCTGGGTGCAAGTGGGCCTCAGTATGGACGTTTTCGGGTTCGTCTGGGTGCAAGTGGGCCTCAGTGCGGACCAGTGTGAACTTGTCTGGGTGCAAGTGGGCCCCAGTACAAGTTGTTTTGATGTGTTTGGATGATGAGTTAGGAGTGAAATTTTCGTGGAATGTGCTTATGACATAGGATTTGACGTATGTCTCGGGGATCAGGTGAGGATCTCCAGTATTGCGGCCTTGCGAGGTCGGGTTTTTGTGGTCTCTGTGACGTTGTGTTGGGATTCGAAGTCGAATCCAGTTTAGTGGAGGAGAGTTGTAACATCCGTAGCCCTTTTTTGGAGTTTTGGGGGTTGCGTCGGGCGACGCAAGGTGTGCGTCGGTCGACGCAACAATTGCAAAATCAGACCCGGTTCGATTTAAGTGAAATTGGGTCCGGTTTAGCCCGGTTAAGGGCTGGAAACCCTGATTTTCGAGTTTAAAGAAGGAGATTTCGTTCTCTGGTAGACTCTCTGGGTGCAAGTAGGCCTCAGTTGAGTGTAGCTTATCTGGGTGCAAGTAGGCCTCAGTATAAGCATTTTAGTTCATCTGGGTGCAAGTGGGCCTCAGTATGGACGTTTTCGGGTTCGTCTGGGTGCAAGTGGGCCTCAGTGCGGACCGGTGTGAACTTGTCTGGGTGCAAGTGGGCCCCAGTACAAGTTGTTTTGATGTGTTTGGATGATGAGTTAGGAGTGAAATTTTAGTGGAATGTGCTTATGACATAGGATTTGACGTATGTCTCGGGGATCAGGTGAGGATCTCCAGTATTGCGGCCTTGCGAGGTCGGGTTTTTGTGGTCTCTGTGACGTTGTGTTGGGATTCGAGGTCGAATCCAGTTTAGTGGAGGAGAGTTGTAACATCCGTAGCCCTTTTTTGGAGTTTTGGGGGTTGCGTCGGGCGACGCAAGGTGTGCGTCGGGCGACGCAAGGTGTGCGTCGGGCGACGCAAGGTGTGCGTCGGTCGACGCAACAATTGCAAAATCAGACCCGGTTCGATTTAAGTGAAATTGGGTCCGGTTTAGCCCGGTTAAGGGCTGGAAACCCTGATTTTCGAGTTTAAAGAAGGAGCAGCCGTTTTTCTTCCTCACTTTTGTCCTTTTGCGAAAAGGAGAAGTTCATGAGGAGAGCTGGGCGATTTTGGAGAGATCTGTGGTGTTCTTGGGCGAATCTGAGGCGGATCTGTTGCTGTTCTTCATTGTTTTCTCTTCCTCTTCCTTTTTCAATCCAATTCAAGGTGAGTGCATGACTGTAGGTCCGCAAATCACTAGATCTGGATTGATTGAATGTTGTTCTTGAGGTGTTCTTATGATATAAGGTTTATGTGATGATGTTTGGTTGATTCCTGTGTTAATTTGGTGTTTCTGCGTGTTTTAATGATATCTCTGTCGACTTGACGGACATGCGTCGGGCGACGCAGAGCTTGCGTCGGTCGATGCAAAGCTTGCGTCGGTCGACGCAGCCGGTTCTGTCTGGTTCAATTGGAAATTAATTTCTGGTTCAAATTAAGTGATTTCTAGTTAAAATCTGGTTAAATGGTTTAATTCAAATTTAATTAATTAAATGATATTTAATTGATTAAGAGGCTTAAAATAATTATTTAAATTATTTTAAAATATGGAAAATTATTATTTAATTATGAGAATTATTTAATAATTGAGAAATGAAGTTTTAATTATTAATAATTATTTAATAATTGGAAAATGGTATTTAATAATTATTGGAGTTTATAAATATTATTAAATATCTAGTAAATTGCGTAATTGGCCTGTAGGCAGAGTGATTGTCTCACTAAGTATTTATTAAATACTTACGCAACTCCATTCCAATGTGTTGCAGGTAAAAGATTTGTGTGATCGCGGAATCAAGGCTGAAGAGGGGATGATAGGATGTTATTGCTTTTATTTATTTTGCATTATTTTGCTAGACTTGTTTAATTATTATTTGCTTCCGCTGAACTGATTTATTTGTTATTGATATTTTATTTATTTAATTTATTTTAAAGACCTTCGCTAGAATTGTTTAGTATTTAATTATTAAAAAAAAAAGTGTTGGTTGTTTCAATTTTCAAGTTTAAGGTTTCACTAATAACTTAAGCAGCTACACAACACTGTGCTGATATTTGGGAAATCGATGTTTCTGAAGAGATTTGGCTGGTCAAGGCAGCGTTGAGAAAGTTTTGATGTCAGGAGATGTGATAGAGTAGCCAAAAGAAGAAATAAGCTAGCTGGGTTATCCAAGACATGAATGATATGGGTTTCAAGATCTCCATACTAATCGAGTCTGCTTCAAAGACCGAATGAATAAGCAAAGCCTCTGGTTGGTAAAATGGAATCCAGTAGTTGCCACGGACTCCACTGCGTACAAGAGGCTCTTAACACAACAATCACTTCTTCTAATCAATTTTTGTGAAATAACATATGACCCCAATATTGTTTCTCAAGCATCATAATAGCCCATGTAATTAAAGTTTTCTAGCAAAATAACATTCTCTATATGTGTGTGCGTGATAAACTACTAATAGATGACATAATTTTGATTAATATACTCCATTCTTTGTTGAATAACTGATGTTGTATAAGACTGTTTTGTTTGGTTTGTTTTGCCGAAACCAGATTCATTTCACCCTTGACCGAAAATATAAGTGGTACTAAATATAGTGATACAAATACTAGTAGTACAAAGATAGCAGTATAAATAGTAATTTTGTAAACTTAATTCTGCAACTTTTGTCTTTTAGTGGATTTTTGTTTTTTCCAGCTGAATCTGTTCTCATTTCAACTGGTAACCAACAAAAAATATTCAGCTAGATTCTTCAGCATTCAGCAATTCTGCTAACACCAGTTAGGGCCATAATTTGGTAAACAATATGTATCAAGAGTATGATTTTTTTTTTTTCAGTTAACTTTTAGTTTCTTGGAAAGTTATTTTTCTTTTGACAATGCTTGTGAACTCTTCTTATACGTTTTGACTGTTAGAATTCCATTTTCGGTTATTGAGGATACACACGAGAGATTTGTCCGGACTTATGACCAGGCGGTTCATTTGGCGAAAGCTTATGCTATGAATGATAAGTTCTCAAGAGTTCTAAGCCAACAGCTCGAGTACTACTCTAATGATCCTAATGCCGATAGGATAACTCGAATTAAGGGTGAAATGAATCTGGTTTCGGATTTCTCTGTATATCTCATGGTTTCATGGTTTGTCGGTTTGAAAAGATTTATGTGCTTGGTGTTTTTTAACAGAAGACAGGTGAATTTCTTCCAAACGGAGTACTAAAGATCATCGATTGTAAACCTGATCAAACTCTCTCAAGGAGAATATGTTTCTCGAGCATTTGGAAAACATCTACGAACAAAACTCCATTGTCCAGGATGTAACTTTAAAAAAAAAACTATATCTTGTCCTGCAAGCAATCTCTTTTAGGGTTTCTCTGCAATGATCTTTGAATCTGATTTTTATAATGTTGTCCCTATTTTTATTCTTAGATATGTATGGATCAGATATATATATGCTTGTCGGAGTGATTGTTCCAAACCTATACAATGTTAGGCCTGCAACATTTAACCTATACTTAGAAACCCAAACCAAATCGACCCGAAATACACGTAACTGATTGGTTTGAGGTATAAAACAAATCATCCGATGGGTAAAATATTTGATATTAGTGTGTAATACTCGAACCAAACCGAATCGATAGCCGATCAGATACCCGAATTACCTAAATTATGGTATTGTGGATTAGTTTTCATATTATTGATATAATTTTTTAGTTTTTTTTGGATTTCTTTTTCCGAGCTTTCAAATATATTTTTAGTATTTTGATATTTTTTCTTTAAATAAAAATTGGATTTACTGATATTTTTCAGGGTTTTGAATTTAATTTTGAGTTTTCGTGTGATAAATAACCATAATTTTTGAATCCAAATCATAACAAAAAAAAATTGGATAAAATTTGGTTCTCTAGACTTTAACCCGACCTAATACCGAACCGAAATACACACAAAGATCGATTACCCAAAATATGTGGACCAGTCGGTACTTACCCAAACTCCACCTAGTTCACTCAAAGTCTGCAGACCTACCAAAAACCGTGAATCGGTGGGCTAAAGATAATGGTTTTATCAAACTATTCCAGAACTCTAGCGTGTGAAGATGATTGGTGAAGTGAGGCACTGCCTTTTTGAGCCTTCTCCTAGACATGACGGCACAATGGAACTCCACCAGTATTCAAGTCCCGGTTTGACAGGGGAAAGCCGTTTATCTCATGCATTGCAACAAAAAAAGATGATGAAGCCTTGAGAGTTGAGACTTGAGAGCCTTAACACCCTCGTTTTAACATTAATGTTAACTATATCTTTAGACCTTGTTAAGAGTATGTTACATGGACATTTGTAATCTTTTTAGGATGTCATGTATTTGATCTATAAGACAATAGATTATTGAATCTTTGCCTGAGGCTTGCTTATTTTGTTTTTAAAAACTATTATAACACACAAGTTTAAAAAAAAAAATTGAGAGAGAGAGAGAGAGAGAGAGAGAGAGAGAGAGAAATTTTGTTCAAGGATGTGGTCTCGTGGATTACCGGAGAGACACTTACAAGATGAGACGTGCATAACTGTCATTATATCAATCAGCAGTTTAATATTGTGAGTCAACACCCAATTTTAATATACACTAGTACTCTCTGTCCTGCCAAACAAATCTTGTCGAGCAAGTTAGGTTTGGCTTCTTTGTTAAAAGGAAAGTTAACCCGAGTTCCTTAATGTCGTCGGTGTTAAAGGACTTATCTTTGTTGAAGGTGGTGACTGCTTTCTCCATGGATAGAGTCAAGGTCTATTCTGTTTTCTTTCTATTTCAGCTCGATTTGAGAAACTGTTTTCTCCATTGATCCTTCATTTTATTGAGCAGAAAAAGACGAAATGGATTCAAGCGAAACTTTTCAAACTGTTTTCGTAATGGCTTCCAATTACGCAAAACACTAGCACAAGCAACCAACAATCAAACAAAAGCGAAACACAAGCAAAACCAACAAACTTCATTGGTGTCGAGCGACACCACCCATGATGTCGGTTGATATACCTCTATTTTACATGCTTTTTATATGGTTTTACTATGCTTTTTATAAGGTTTTTAATGGATTTCTGATCTAAAAAGGTAGTTTTTAAGGATTTATAGTACTTAGAGTCTAAACAGGTCAAAAGATGCATTTTGGAGCAAAACACATGATTTGGACTTCAAGACAGCTCCAGGACGTAGCATCAACTTAAGAAGGGCCTTAAAACCAATCTACTCAATGGAATTCATCAAATCCAGTTCGAGGCGATGCATACGTGAGTTAGCTTTGCAACGCAACTGGAATCACTCAGTTTGACCGAGTAGATTGGGAGATATCTCTATTTCCCTGAGACATATACGAGGAGCTTTATCGGACTGCATCAGTACATCAAACGGGCAGCAGCGGCTTGGACCCTTAAACTCAATGGATTTCAATGAAACTTGATACCAAGATATCCAGATGAGTTATTGTTCCAATGCCGTTGGAAGTATGCAATTTGGATAAGCCGTTTAGGAGATATCACGTTTGTACTGAAGACTGGTCCACAGCCGGCCGAACGCACTCGGCCGGACAGGAAGGGAATTGGCTTCGCTCGGCCTTCTCCAGGACCGATCCGCCGCACGACCGCACCGTCCGAGCCGGGAGGCAATGGACCACGATCGACCGAGAACATCACATCACGGCCGACCAGACGGCCGACCAACAAAGGACCGCGTCGACCCGATCTCCGCGAACAAGAAGCCCACTTATGCAGTTTTGACATTCTCAGCCCGTTAACCTAAACCGACTTGTGGAAGACCTAGGGCACTATAAATACTCTTTTTTAGCCTCTTTAGAAGAGAGAGCCGCATAGAGAGTCACAAGAGAAGAGCTACAAGAGAGAGGCGCACTAGGGAGCTCCCCTTAGAGGGATCTTCCATTGTTTTACTTCTTTCTCATTGTTTTCCTTAGGGAGAAGATCCCTTCTTTGTATCTCGACATAGAGAAGCTTTCTAAACCCTTTTCTCCTTATATTAATATGATTTCTATCTCAGATCTATGCTTGTTTACTTGCACCATGTTTGAGTAGATTTCTAGTTAGGTTTTAGGGTTTCAAAGAGTTCATGTGTTGATTATGATTTGATGAATTAACTAGGGATATCATTAGAGTCTTTGTCTCGTTTTGCACACTTAATTAATGCTAATCACTTTACCGTACATCTAGTGATTCGATCTTAGGTTGATTTGAGCCTCGAAAGTGTTGTATCATTCGCCGGACATATTCTTTGACAAGCTAGGTTTCTTAGACTGCGAAGTTGATTTACTTAACCTAGTGAACTGTATCCGAACTTGCTCGATCTAATGCTTGATTTAATCACCTAGGGACATACCAAAAGTTTAGCGACTAGGTAGATTAACAAAGGAACCGGAGCCTCGACAGTGGAATGGTTTTACATCGTGTTTGGTGTTCTAGACGGATCTTACATCCCATATCCCTAAATAGATATAAATCAATCATCAATCTTATCATATATGAATCTCTGCGAATTACCTATTGCCTAGCGTCTTTCCCACATTGAACTTACACCGCTTTCATATTGCTTTCTTTTAGTTTAGTTCTTTTGCATACCAAAACCCCAATTCATCCTTTTGTCCTAGCTAAGTTAGACTTGCATAGCTTGTAGTGCACTTATCTGCTCCTTGTGTTCGATAACCCGTTACTACACCTGACCTGTGCACTTGCAGAATCAGGGATAGGAATAGGTAAAACCTGATCCCGCATCAAGTTTTTGGCGCCGTTGCCGGGGAGCAATACAGCTGCCTACGAGTTCCCAAGAATAGCTTAGTCTAGGAATTTAGTTTTAGTAGTTTTTGCTTTTGATTTTTAGTTTTAGTTGTTTTTCATTCTTCCTTTGTTTTAGTTTTTGTTTCAATTTCGCTTTAAGCCTTTATCTTTGTGTGTTTCAGGTGCAAACTTGATTATAAGATGAAAGCTATGATCTTTGGCCAGACCCAAGATCATGTCCCTTTAAGGCGTGCCCCTTACTACCAAGAAACCATTGGAGATTTTGCATGGGAGCAATCACAAGAAGTTAACTATGTAGATGACTTCATCTATCCTCCTGACTTCCAGCAGCAATTACCACGGTTTCACCATCAAGGAAGTCAATTCCGACCTATGCAGCAGTACAATCAAGAAGGCATGTACCCAATGAAGCAGCCTTACAACTTTCCTCCAAGCGCACCTCATCCGGTTCAGCAAAATAGTGTGATTCAAGCAATGCTTCAGCAGATTGTGGATGATCAAAAAGAGTTCACTAATGAATTGGATGAGAGGATGGAAAGCTTGTTCAACAGTTTCATTGACAAGAACGAGTCTCTTGCTTGTCAAATCAAGAAGATTTACACCCATGTTGATCAAACCTATGAAGATTTGAAAAGACAAGAGATGGAGGAAACAAAAGCTTTTTGTGAATCCATCTCTAGAAGGGAAGCTGAGTTCGTGCCAACCCATAAACCACCCCAGACTGCTGTTAACTTGGCTACAAGACCAGAGCAAGAGCATTACTCTTTGGACTCAACAAGAGGTTACAAGCCGAAGCCACTAGAGAAGATCTCTAACCCGGAGAAGCTTGATGTACCTTGCATCATTAATGGAGTTTTGTTCAAGGATTCCATATGTGATACAAGATCTCACATCAACATCATGAACAAAGGAATAGCCAAGAAGATTGGGATTGAAATCAGGGATCCCTCCAAGATACCAATGCGGTTTAAAGATGACCCTTATACTCTCTTCCATGGTTTCATCTCGAATCTTACACTATCCATTGGAGATCACGTCTTTAAGGCTGATTTCCATATATTAGAGATGAAACACGACCCTGACAAGCCATTGAGTTTTGGTTCATCATTCCTTGAAGCCAATGGAGCAATCTTGGATCTTCAGAAGCAAAGAATCTCTCTCTCCAAAATCAGTAAAGCCATGTCCTATCCGGCGGTTCCTATCAAGAGCTCTCATTCTGCAGATGTGTGCGCTAGAGAGGAACCACTATCAGAGCCTTATAATGACCAGGAGCAGTTGATAGACGTCATATCAGCAGCCCCTCTCATCATATCTAAGGAAATTGCCATACCGGCAAAGGCAAACTGCATTAAGGTTTCAAGTGTCTCAAGCAAGATTTTGACACCAAGGGAGTACAAGGAGGACGTGATTGATGCCACACCACAGCCTATAAGAACTTCAAGATGCTTCTCTAAGTTCAGCTTTGATTTCCAGAATAAGGAAAACAAAGAACCCTTCAAGGATGGGCTGCACAAGAAGAGGAAACTCTTTACTGGTGGTATTGTTTCTTGCAACTACATTCAAGACCTTCAAGATATCCATAGGAGGAGTTTCAAACCGTCAGGTCCAGAATGTAGAGAAGCTAAAGGAGCCTCAACTCTTCTATTTGATCAATTGGTCAATTAGAAAGAGAAAGAGTCAAGCTAAAAGACTTTAAACAAGCGCTATATGGGAGGCAACCCATAAGGTGTTTTCTTTTCCCTTTTTACTTTTTGTTTTAGTTTAATGGTTTTTGTTTTGTTTTTGAAGTTTTGGATACAGAGATTTGAGAATCTAGCATGAAATTTGAGAAGAAACCTCGAAAAATGAAGAAAGGAGACAAAACCATGAAAGTGTCCCACCCAAAGTCCCACCCTTGTTCAAGGCGAAATCTCCACTACAGGTAAGTAAATTCTTCTCCAATATTTCATTCATGACCACTATTAATCTCTATTCATGAGCATTTGAACCATTGCACTTCATTAGTTACATTTCATGGTCTAAATCGCTTTAAAACTTCATGGTTATTGAATGAAATATATCTCTACTTGTCAAACTTATATGATGCAATGAATTCACATAGACTAAACTATAATTTGAAGTTTGGGATCACTAACCAAGACCCAAAAATATGTTTATAGTTTTTACCTTAATCTCTTGGATTGTGAACTTCAAGCTGGTTACTTGAGGGTCTCAATCTAAGAACTATCTAATCAGTGATTTCAAGTATTTTGCAAGGATTTAATTACTTGACAGGAAGGATATCAAGAAGAAATGCTATAGCCGACCACAACCATCATACCTATGGAGGTTTAAGGAAGGTTTCAAAGGAGGAACATACCCAATCCCAAGGAACAAGGCGCGCACCACATGGGAATGATAAATAAGAGTTAGAAAATCACTTTGGTCGAAGAAAATCTCAATTGGCCCGAGTGGATTTGAAGAAATTCCATCCGGCCTATTTCTCTCGGCCATGGCACATGCATGGAGAATCAATCTCGGCCAACTCCTCAACCATATGTTCAAAGTCCACCAAACTTCACAGGCGACCATAAAATCAAATTTGGTCGGCAAATCCAAAAGATAGGACGGTGAAATGTTCACGGTTCAGGAGATATACAGAAGAGCCCCATCCGGTCGTCCGCGGTGCAACCAAATGGCCGACAAAACCAAATCACGGCATAGGCGCGAACTCCGGATGGAAATGACTTCCTGGAGCTTCACTATCACATTTCCAAAGGAAGATCACAAAACGAACGAGCCAAACTCAAGGATGGCCAAGAAACCTCTTCCCGGAGCCATATTGACCACTTTGTGAAGGATCTCTCAATCCACTCGTTCGAATGCTCTCAAACTTCACCAGAGGCCATAAATATGAGGTTGGTCGATGAAATTTAATATGGGTCGAGGAATTCATTATAGTTTTAGCTGTAGTCCATAGCACTACCCTCCGGTCGACCGAAATGTCCCATCTCGGCCAGAACGCAACC